CTTCAAGAAAAAACCAACTTTTTCCAAAAACCAACCTTTTCTTAGGAAAAGATTGTTTTTTTTCTGGAAAATCTCAATGCCACGTATTGCAAAAACCATTTTTTCCTAGGAACAAGTTGGTTTAGAAGCCCAGGCTTTCCAAAAACCAACTTTTTCCTAGGAAAAGGTTTGTTTCTTCAAGAAAAACCAACTTTTTCCTAGGAAAACCAAAAACACAAACATCACAAACTTTTCAGGAGCCACCATAGTTCCAAAAAACGTTGTTTTTTTTTGTTTTTTAGTTTTGGTGCTTTTTGTGCTTTCTGTATTTCCATACTCTACGTCATAAGGAAATTACATCAGCCAGAATCCAGGTAGAAACCAGAAATCCAGGAGTCCAGAATTCTAATATTGAATTTAAATAGATTCAACAAATAATTTAATGGACCATAATTGGATATGAAACTAGGAATCCCAGATTCGAGGATTTTCGTGTTGAATTCACAGAAGATATATAAGAAATGTCAAAAGACAAGAATCCGATTGAAAACCAAGAATCAGTACAGTAATCGCATTCATTTTAAAGAAATTGAATAAGGAATTTGTATGGATAGAATACAATTCAATCCGAAATTGGAGGGTGCCCAAAATCCGATCATGCGAAAATGCGTGTTTTTATCGGTAGTTGCAGGGTTTTCAGGGGGTCAGTGGATCATGGGGGGCGGTCCATATATATATATATGTATGTATGTATGTAATTATGTCTGCGTCACCTCTTGCGACAACCGTTTGTATCTAAATTATTGGGGTCTGCGCGTAGCTAACACCCTACACCCTGAAAGCCTAAATCCTGAATCCTTTGTTTATTCAGAGGCTAACTCCTGGTGGGGCATTCAATCTACGCTTGTCTGGGCCAATCTGAAGTCCTCCTTGCTTGAAAGACGGCTCGTAACTTGTAGTGGAAGAGGTTGAGCGATCTGCTATCCTCATTTAGGCTCGCACAAGGGACAGCTTCCTTGGGATCGTCAACTTCATCATCTTCGTCCTCCTCTTCACCTAACGTGGGAATGCAATGCCAGTCAAGCAACCCTGTCAAGGCTCGTTCCAGCCGGAGTTTTTCAAGTTGCGTTCAGAGCCCAGGCAATCAACTGCACTCCTCGCGTTCCGTGAAAGTTCTGCTCGATTCAGCTTGTGTTCATGATGGATGGGATGGCCTCAAACTAGCCTTGAACATCACCGACACAAGATTCGCTGAGGCAATTCATGAGTATAGCTCACAAACACATTGCAAGTATCTAGTCTCGCCCAACACGCCTCAAGGATCCTCAAGGAGAAGTTTGACATCTACATGAAATTGTCCAACTCTGTCTTCGACAAATTCAGCGCGTGCAAATGTCGAGCCTGGACGATTTGTAGTCAAGTGGTGCCTCAGTAGCTGCGAGTGAAACTCAGGAGGGTCATCCACTTCTAATGGAAAGCTGCAAGCACTGGTTCTGTGTTAAGCGCGGCCTGTTTACGGCTTGAGCCTGAAGTCGAGTCCGGTAGTGGTCTCTGAACAAATACATAGGGATCGACACCCACTAGGGTTGTTCAATTGGCATGGTACTTCAAAACCTTTGGCACCGCAACGAAAGAGGAGCGTCCAAGGTGTTTGGAATCAATCTGGTAGCTTCCGCGGAGCTTCCGCGAACTCAGACTTCATGTTGCGTAATTCAATTTCATAGCCTCCGTCGTCTGCTGTGATGCATTTTACTGCGCGCCTCTCAGTTCCCAACAGCTTCTGATGATTGGGTGGATTGGCAAAATGAGCCGCAAGAGCAGAATGCTTCACGAACCCTTCCACCCATCTGCTTGCGCGTCCACCGCAAGCCGCTTCTCGCATCCCAGTGACGGGCCAAGGCTGGTATTACGCATGCTCATGAAACCTTCGAACATGTTCAAGCTCACACTCAGCAGCAAGCAGGAAGATGCTGCGCGGCTCGCGCATGGCCTTGGAGCCCCGATCGCTGCGACGCTTGTCGGCTCCTGGCTGCATGAGGACACAACATGCGGCTGGATGTTGCACGAAGTATACGAAGTGTTGCTTCTAACCCAACCAGCAGCTGACAAAGAAGGGCAGCCCGAGAGTGCCCGTTCTCAGCCTTTCTCTCAACAAAGCAAGGCAAGACACAGACTGCCTTGAGCTTGTGATTCGCGAGGGGGAGCAGCTGCCTTCACGGCGCCTGTCAGAAGTCTGCGGGGCTTAAGCAGAACGTACCAGCTGCAGCGCAATGCAATGAGAGTGGGAGCAGCCGGTTGGGACGATCTGCCTGAGTTCGCCTTGACACCTTCGCCCGCATCCTCAGTGACATGGTCTGCACATCAAACAAGTATCAGCTGATTACTGCTGCAACACCTGTGTTTTGATGTTAAGTACAGCACAGACCAGTACTGGAAAAGACGACAGTTCAAAATGAGCCAGCATGAGAAGCTCTGGGTGCCCTGCCTCAGCGTGAGCGCGTTGGCCTGTCCGCATCAATGAATTGAACGAGACTTTTCGCAACGCTGACTTGCAGCTCCTAAAGTGACGCGCGGCCCGAGTGCTCGAAAAAAACTCGAGGTAACAATAAAGCTTAAATCTGCTCCCTGTTACTGCCCATTCCCGGACGAATTCGGCGCCTGCGGAGCTCACGCCTTTGGAACTCCTCAGCACGCCCGGAGCAACGCGAAGCACCGCTTCCACAGAAAAAAAGCAAGGATATCTCCTAGCATGTGGTGTTGCCTGAGTGCGCAGCTTGTTAATGGCATTGTTTTTCGGAGTCCCAAACAATGTGACTGCGCCCTCAGCGAGCGGGCCGCAAATTCCTTAGCATCGTGCAGCAAACATGCACGGCTACGTACACCATGCATGCGTGGCCGACCAGAATCCTCTAACTGTTCTATTCTAACTGCTAACTGGTTAAGACCCATGTGCGGATTCTCCTGGAATCGCTAGTTACAATAGCTTGCTTGCTTTGACGCAGACAAGCTCCCCATGCGCGCGGCTACATTGCAGCTCGAGGCCGCATCCAGGGAAATTATTGAAACGTGCTCTCGCAATCGGCTAGGCTCCTGGCCTTCAGTGGATGTGTACGTACCTGGTAAGCAGCAAGCTGGAGCAAATCCACAAAAAGATGCTAATTACACAGGAGACACCTGCCCCAGGACCTCAAAGAGAACCAGCACATGAGCTCTGTACTAGCAAACGATGATGCCTGTGCTAGACTGCGCATTTGCAATCCTACACGAACCTCAAGTCAAAGCGAGACATCAATTGGGGGGAGCACGAGCTTTCATGCGCATTCGAGCAATGTCCTGCCTCAGATGGGGTTTACATGAGACGTTGAGTCCAGTTTGCCAACAGAAGCGCCTTTACTACGTACTTTAAGCACAGTAATCATCTTTAGACCTTCGCTAAACAAGCACGAGAGCAGTGCCGCTCAGATCCTGAGCAGTGCTGTCCCCAGTACTAGAACCACAGAAACTTGTTGCTGGTTGATGTAACAAGAAGAAGACCAGTCCGCATAACAGCAAGAAGAGCACAAGCAAACCAAGCTAGACAAACGTGTTAGTAACTTAACGACGCTCACTGTTTTCTTGATCCTACGTAATTGCAAGAACCACAGCATCAGCAAATGTAGCAAGCTTGATTCTGAAGAAAAGATGCCAGCGCTCTGCTGTGATTCAAAAGGCAAGGTTGGCATCTACCTGGGCTCCAAGCTCTGCTTCATGTGCGCTGTAGTGCCTCAACAGCTCATCCACCCCACCCACTCAAGTCTTAGCAGACACATCCCTACATAATCCATGTGCCATGTACAAGGAATGCAAGGGATGCTCCATGAAACAAGATTTGGGGCAGCGTGATCTGATGGCTGCAGGATACTGATTCTTCTAGACTAAACCGGGCGGCGAACGCTCAATCGAGGGTTCCCCTGAGAGAAGGATTGGAGACCCAGAAGCCAATGAAGGTAGAGAGCGGTCCCGCGAGCTGCGGACAAAAAATGTCTGTGCAATCCGTATGCTATGACACAGATGCACGATCGCTTTCGGGGAAGAGTCCAAGGGCCCCTGCGATGCCGGAGTGGGCAGCACATGCTGAGCTGGAGTTGATGGAAGCGGCGATGAAAGGGCCTCAACAGGGATGAGGATTGACTAGAAATGCAGAAAGAGGTGAAGGGACAACCTGCCAGAATGACTTCCACTTATACGGAGCAATGATTGCACCCTATGCAGGTCCTGGTCTGGCAGCTTGCTGGGAGGCAAAATCCGGTCCTCCTCCTGACCACAGTGCTAAGGGCTGATTCTTTACAGGTTACCCCTTACCCGCTTCAGCATAACAACATTGGATACTTCACAAGCTGATCTCTCAACGCAGCGAAAGCGGTCGCCAGGCACCGTTGAACATGGATCATAACCCCGGCATAACAAGCGCTCCTGGACTGTTCGATCGGATCCTCTCACAGACCAGTTTGCCAAGAACTTGGACAGATCCTGGGCCGATGACTGCACGCTCAGGCTGAACATCGTTGTAAGGAGTGGCCCGAGCAGTACCACTGGAGAAGCGTACTGAAACGAGCGCATGAAATCCTTTTGCGCGGGCTATAACTCGAAACACTTGCCGAACCCTGAGGTCCTCGGCAGACAAAGAATTGAATCGCAGACGGCCATAAGTAAACGGGAAGGCCGCACAAACCGTGCAGTGCCGCAACCAACAGCTGCCGTTGACCAGGGTCTTACTAATAACGCCTCACTTACTTGTAAACCATATCTCAGCCAAGATTTGGCACTGCCGACAGGTAAGGCTCTGCGCGATAAAACTTCGATTGAAGTGGTGGCGACAGTGATCCATTAAGGAGACACTGAAGCAACAATTTCATCGCCCAATTCTGAGGAGGCTTCGGTCATGGAACCATTTTTTTGCAACAGCTGTGCATAGAAAGCGATGCTAAGTTGCCAACACCTGACGGAGACAAAGGTTGAGAGCATCATTCCTCCGAGCTCCACCCCAGAGTATGATAGCTCAAGGCTAGCATGCGTTGCCTAAGCTAGGGACTGCTAGACCGCAAGGCCTCTAAACGAGTTCTGTACCTGTATAATAGCCTCGCCATTAAGCGGGGAAGATATTAGTGGCCACGCTCTGCGCAGCAGTCACCCGTCAAACTCGTACGACCTCAGCTGCACAGAAACTGATTTAACCTGGAAGAGCCCGTCTCTCAAAGAGCCATGAAAGAGGTAGGTGCTAATGCAATACTTGACTGCACTCTATGCTACGTGCATGTGTGACAGCCGTCTGGCGACACGCAGAATGAGAGCCCCAATCCCATTGGGTCATATTAGGGTTACATTGGGGCTAACTTGGGATTATGGAAAACAAAATGGAAACTACTAAAGTATTTTGGGGTTATGTTGGGATTACGGAAAATAAGATGGAAACTACTGTAGTACACTGGGGTTATATTGGGATTATGGAAAATAAGATGGAAACTACTATTACGACCAGCGGCGTGGCTCTCTTTTTGTTCGGAAGCGCCAGGTTCGACATAACCACAGAAAATTGGTGATGCAACTCCGGGTCGAAGCAGAACCTGTCAAAATGCGCCCCTTCCCTCATAACGCTCCGCTTTAAATGTGAATGCCAGGCCGGACCTGAACTGCTGATTGGTATCTGCGCCCTGCTTAAAGTAATAATCGTACTAGTAGTAATCATCATATTAATAAGAATTGTAATAGTACTAGTAACAGGAGTAAGACTAGTAACAACGATATTAAGTAGACATAATATATACATAGTAATAATAACAAGTAATCTGCGCTCAACGTGAATTGTAGCCCCTGGATGCCCCTGGCTTTTGAGAAATCATGTTGGGCCATTTTTGGGAACCTCCTAAGTTTGAAGAAATGCATTTCCAAACCCTAAACAACACTGGGATGATTCTTTGAGTTCGATGTGCTTTTCAAGGTTTTAGACAGATCTGGATTGATATTCAAATGATGTTGATTAGCTTTTACTTGGTTTTCATTAAATTCAGGAGCCCACTTGAAAAGGTCTAGATTTTGGGGAGGCTCACTTACTTGGCTTTACTTACTGAAGTTCATCATGAATTTAAATCTCTACCCTGGAGGTCCACTGTTTGCATTGCTTGTTGTTATAGCGAGGTCTTTACTTGAAAAGCCCGGATCAGGTTGTACCGCAATGCTCGTAGCTGCTCTAGCGATCTAAGAAGGGAGAGACGTTCTGAGCGGTATCGGTTCATACAAAGCGCAGGAAAAATGAATATATATTCATATATATACATATACATATACATATACATATATGAGTATACATATATATATATGTACATATGCCATGCTGCAAGTGCAATGAGGGGCCCGAGCTATGATACTTGTATGTATATATATGTATATACAAACACATATATGTTACATGCATATATACCTATACGTTGACAACGGGAAGAAACAACTGGCTGCTGCCAGGCCACGAGGGAGGCCGCTGGGCTATCGGATTCATCCTGGTCACCATTGAGATTGATTCATCGCTTCTGGATTCCGAGGCTGCTGAGCAAACATGGAGCAAAGCTGGGAAGAGCGGTTTGGAACGTCACCAGGTGGTCCAGACTTTGCACAATTAGCGGCATGTGGCTGAGAAGATTGCAGCGGGTTTCTGCTTGGCAGCTCTGTACAGAAGCTGAGGCAGGTGCAGTGCTCGCAAGCTAGTGTTCCTTGGCTTCAGCTAGCACAGGGGACCGGAAGCGTGATACTCCGATAAGTCACCAGGCACCTCAAAGAAAAAGCATGGCCGAGAGCTAATAACCAGCATCCTTCAGTCTCAGCTTCCAATCACTTTGCATCTGATGCATGGGCAGGTCGTTCGGCTCGCGGCCAAAGGGGGACTCCAGCTGCAGCGCGATGAAATTCTGTGCCCACCTCAGGTCTTTTTACTTCGAAATCTGAAGCGTCAGATTTTGAATTGATGCTGCGGTTGTAATCATTACAGAAAGGCATGGAGATCTTCAGTGCATTTCCTGCACTAAAACAAGGGCAACTAGCCGCCCAAGTCAAAAAGGTGCTGCAAAGACCCCTGCCGTCAAGATGCAAGAAGCAAATGACCACGAAGGCAACGCAAGCAGCAAGAACTCTTCCGAGAAGCATGCTGCAAAGTACCTGTCTGATTGAAGTGTTCGCAGAAGAGAAGCTTGGATGAGCATAGCTGAACATACCAAGGCCGTTAGGCTCTGTCGAGTTGAATGGTCCGAGGGCCACAGTTGGCGCCCCGCAGAGATGCACAACAAGAGTTCTCAAGCTGGGGGTTGCTACGTCTGACCTGCTCTCATCACAGGAAAGGTACAAGAAGAATCATGCGAAGCTCACGGCATACCTGAACTTGCAACGTTGACTAGATTATGAATGAATGCCCCGGCAACGCTACTCGTTGGCAAGTCTTACCAGCAGCTGTTTTCCTCCCATTTGAACAAGCTGCTGGAACGAGGGCCCAGTGGACACACAGCATTGCCATGCCTCAAGCTTTGGATAGGGAACATCATGGCAGCTTAGCTGACTGGTGAACAGCAGAAGCTTGTAACTGAAAGCAAAATTATCTGCAATGCGGCGAGGTCGCTCACCTGCGCGAGCGGAAATGGAAACGGGAACTCCGCAATCTTCCCTTGACTCCAACGACATGTTTATGGGGATCATGACACGGCACTCGCTCTCTCCATGGCTTAACGCGGTAGATGCAAGACTGCGTCGCGGCCACACATGCATCGAAGCGGCTCGCGTTCTGCAAATTCACGATCCCACGAGACAGCTCTTGATATGCACGTGTCACCACCGGCGGCGCAACCACAATGATGCTATTCTGCATGCTCAACCTGGCAGCTATGAACAGACAAGGCGATTTGCGTGAACAACAGCAACGCCGAGCGGCGTGATTAATCGCTGGAGCCATTGCAGAATAACTTCTACCTGGCAACAGCAAACGTGCCCTGACACAACCGACTGCGTTCGACAACAGAAGACTGACCCGTGACAAAAGGAGCATGACCAGACAAAAGTACAGCAACTATAAGCGCCTGTGACAAAGTGAGATCTCAAGGTCTGCGCATACTTGAAAGCCAGCCTTGTCTTTGCTCTTCGCTAGCATAGACAAGCTCTGCGGATCGATTCCGGCAGGCGACAAGATCTCGAAAGCCCTGCCAGCAGCACAGAGCCGCACAGTGGCACTTGCAGCAGGCTTTTCTTACACACAGTTCCGAGGTGTGTGCCTTGTCTACAGCTACAAGCAGGAGCCACAGCTAGGCATATCATAGGTACAGAATCCAAGCGCGATTGACAGCGCGCGACAATCGCCTGTCCCTGTCAGGAGAGACTTGCTGCAGCGCGCAGCAAAAGAGCAGGCTCATCAGGCGGACCTCGCATGGGATTCTATGCATGCAAGAAATGACTTTCAGACCTGGAAGCAGTCATGAGCATCTGCCTGATGCCAACAAGTGGCAAGCAGGTGCTGAAACTCCTCAACTTGTCGTGCCATCTCTGGAGCCGGATTTGTGAAAGCCTGCAGTCAGACAGCTGCGTCTCCCAGCTTCTAACCACGAAAAATCTGTACCCAGCTGACATGGTTCCACGCAGCCAGGTGGCCATGAGACTGCTAAAGCAATTAAACCATTCTCCACGGGTCTGCTGCAGCAGGGTGCCTCCTTCCCACCACCTGGCACAGATTCCACATGCAGGGCTGCAAGCGTTGTGGCTCTAGAGGTGACATCTCCAGCGACCGGCTTGCCTGTTATAGGCGATGGTACTTCTGAAGTTCCTCAGCCGCATGGGTTTGCATGGTCCAGGTCCTAGGACTTTGAGCCTCGCATGTACTCCAAGCCAAGTTGCAGCACGAAGAACATGCAGGTGCCTCAGAGACTCAGAGACTCAGGGGGAGCAACAGCTGGAGGACAGCATAAAGTGGACCATACGTAGCTGCAGCATGATCCGCCAAGAAGGACTGCCCAACGTGGCCGAAGCACTGAAGATACCGAGAATGCCCCAGGCTGTGTTGATGGTATCTTGGTCCTGCTCTGTGCGCATCTGCTTGGAGAAGTAAGATTAGCTAAAACCTGGACTCTGAGAAGTGGGATGCACGTGCCTGCGCGTACACGTCATGTTCATGCAAGGTCCCCAGAGTGAAGGCGATCACCTCACACCACGCAGTCACATTTGATGGCTCATGATGCCTCTTCATGACCCTAGCTCTGACTCAGAGGTCCAAGCAGAGCAAGCAGAGCCAGCATGTAAGCTCCCTACAGCATTGGGCACAGCCATGACAAACGCCAACGGAAGCACGGAGCCATAGTAACCTCGGTGCAGAGAGATGTATCGATTGCTGACACTTCCAGGCTGAGATATCTCTTGCATAAGCTGCTCAGCAAGCAGCCCCATAGAAGAGTAAATCCCCACTTGCCACTCTCATAGAAGCGCATTGCATGGCAGCGGCTGAACCTGACGTTCCTTTGGAACTCAAGCCAGGATTCAAACGCTACGCACGCAGGAAAATGCCACTTAGGTGTTGCTGATATGTCTCAAGATATGTAAGCTCTCCAACTGTCTGTTGCGAATGGCGTCCGTCACTTGCTACGTATCGCTATTGCGAGGCTGTGGCAGGTTGAGATGATAGGGCTGGCTAGACTTTGCATTGAGGGTGCTGGGGTTCGGTAGTCTGAAGAAGTCGCGTATTGTGGCAAACAGCTAACAGCTACAAGTAGCATCTTGAGAGCACCTCTTCAGAACTTGAGCCTGGCGCAGACGCAGGTGAGGCTTACAACAAAGCCAGGCCCATCCTTCAAGGACGGCCCTGAATTCAATATAACAATGCTCACAAGGATAGTAGAAATGGAACGCAGTACAATACGATCAATTTTCTTAGCATCATGCACAAACCATAGTAGCAAGCGTAGAAGGCGTCATTAATGCAATCTGCCGATGCAATCCATTGAACTTGGGATGTGTTCCTGTGCTAAAAAAAGCACAACAACTCTGACTATTGATCCGCGCAGCAGAACACAGCTTTATGTATCAATTTTCAAACAACAAGTGGCTCTACAGATGTACCGCGACAAAAAAGGCTCCATCTCTGAGCCCAGAGCCTGCCGCAAGTCCTGCCAGGTAGGGCAAAACAGGACTTTGTGTCTAGGCAAAATCCTGAAGGGCATTGCATCATTCCTCTGCAACTCTAAGCGGTTGCTCTTCAAGTTTTGCTGAGCCGAACAACTGCGGCAACGAGCCACAAGGCCAGCAATCTTAAGCAAAATCTAGAATAAATATCCCCCCCGCCCTGGCAAGTAGTTTGCCGAAGGCCCTCTGGGAGCCTGTGACAGACGCTCTGAGATCTGCGAGAACTCGCTCTTCAGGAGACGATGCCTCACAGAGCTTTCGCATACTGGGCTTCTGGCTGCAAGTCCAGTACTTGACATGTGCCACGCAAGAGCCGATAAGCTAAGAATCTGGCACTTCCTCCATCTCCGGCTTGATGGCTTCACTCATGATCCCGAACGCACATCAGCGTGCCAGCAAAATAGATTAATTTGTACTTTGTGGTTATGCGTTGCACCACAGCAGCAGCGCCAACAACACCCACCGCTAGGCTGGTAAGATTGCTTCTAATTTACCCTGTGCCAGAAACTCTTCACTTGCACACCTAGCAGTCAACCGCCTCTACAGTCTGAGCCAGGAGTCTCGGCGCGGGCCAGAACTTCCCAAACAGGCTGCTGTCTGTACGGCTCTGTTCGCTAATTTTAGGGCACAGCAGCAGAAAGCCGATCGTGTTTCAGTAAGGAATCATCCCATGGGCTCCGAAGGAAGTGCAAGAATTCAACCCCTTGCTGCTGGTACAACCAGTCTTCGGGGGAAGCACCGAACAGGTGCAGATAGTCGCCGATGTATCGGAAAATATTCCTCAGAAGCATGTGGAATCTTGGCAATGCAAGCCTATTACTGCCACTACTGCTACGAGTACTAGTACTAGTACTAGTACCAGTACTACTACTACTCATAATAATAATA